GACATTCATTGGATAAATAAATAAAAAATCAATAATACAAAATTCACAATATCCTGCTAAGTCCTTTTTTTTTAAGTTTGGGGGATAGGATTGAACCCATAAAGAAACAATCAAAATCAATTAAGTAAATATTTGTTTTTTGATTGCCTAAAAGTCACAATACAGTTTTTCCCCACAGAAATAGATGAAGGCTATTTCAAATATCTATTATTTTATCTTATTCATAGAAAACATAACACATGCATTCATTATAAAATTGTAAATTTTCTTCAATTGCAATACAACACACTTTTGGCAATGTTCTCTATAGATAAATCTTATTTCTTCTTACCCCTTGAATATTTAATATTAAAACAAAAGTCTTTACCATGATTTTCTATGTCTTTAATTCTTTAGATTCCTGAGTTTTTTATTTGTTTATCTCTGAGTATGTGTTTGTGTGTGTACAACTTTAATGTTTTTGTCCAAGAAGCATTGGTGAAAGATGTCTTGGTGTTGTGTGTGTATGTGTGTATGTTTGTGTGCCTGAAATTGCCTTTGTAATTTTTTTTTACCTTAAACTTAATCTGATTGTTGTTACAGAGAGTACAACTGGCTTATTTAACACTCTTTCCCAGCTCCAAAATCCCTTGGCAGCCTCCAATATAAAGCCGTAGGAGAGGGAAATTCAGTTTCAATACTCAATTCTCAGCTTCCTGACAGCTATGGGTGGCTAAGAAAAACAGTTGTGTCTGGAAAATTTTACCAAGGTGAAACTCTGCCAGTAAAGGAAAATATCAAGAAAAACTTTTGTTTCTTGAAGAAATACAAACATAAAGATTCAGCTGCTGTGGCACATTTACTCTTTCCAACCCGTGTATTCTCTTGCAAGAGAGATAAAAATCATCTTGTGACCATGAGACAATAATAATAAGGATGAATGACTACATATGTAGAGTGACCACGCAACCCAAGAAAAAACAAAAATAAGAAACTCCCCTTTAACATTATTGTTGTCAGTTTGCCTGCTTCAAGTGACCAAGTGATTCAGAACATCAGCATGGTAATTAACTCTTGCTACTGCATTGGCCTGCCACACTCTCATAGATTCGAGCACTAAAATAACAATAAATCCAAATGGGTTTGGACTACTTATTAGTTGCACATACAACATAACAAGAACAGTATGGTGTTATCTTCCCACATCTGTAATTCCCTAGGATGACACTAAACCAAAGGGGTCAGATCACAGATGAGATAATATGTGCTTTAATAGGTGAGGGAGCGTTTCAGCTAAGTAGCTAGTAAGCTAGAATACACCATTTCTTACCAGAAACAGGAAGGTGAATGTAAAATTGTTTTGTACTGCCTCTTACAACAGTCTAGAGTGCTGTGTTCCAGGCACAAAAAATTCTGCCAGGACATGGCCACCTGTACTTACGCTTTCCCTGTGTGGCCTCTATGGAGACACATAGGGTTGCTAAGATACTACGGCAGGGCCATTTCTCCACAAGCATTTGTTAAGTGAGAATAATATAAACCATGTATTTGCATGCTTCAATTAATCTGGTTTTCTTTTCTTTATAGCTAAATTAACCCTACCTGATGGACTTCAGCACAGAATTTTATACTTTAAACAACTGCTTCTTTGGACTATGAAGGTAATGTTGAATTGGATTTCTGTATTCACTGAGACTCAAGACAGACTGTTGCTAATTTGATTCTCTTTAAAAGATTTATTTATTTGAAAGGCAGAGTTATAGGGGGTGAAGAGGGAGAAAGAGAAAGAGAGCCATCTTCCATCATCTGATTCACTCCCCTAATGCTGCAAAGGTCAGGGCTGGGCCAGGCTGAAGCCAGGAGCCAGGAGCTTCATCCGGGTCTTCCATCTGGATGCAGGGGCATTTGGGCCATCTTCCACTGTTTATCCAGAAGCATTAACAGGGAGTTGGATCAGAAGTGGAGCAGCCGGGATTTGTGCCCATTTGGGATGCCAGTGCTGTAGGCAGTGGCTTAATACAGTGCTACACTGTGCCATATTGAAATTTGTTTTTACATTTTTTCCATTTATTTATTTGAAATGTAGAGCAACTGAGAAAAATGGAGAGATGAGAGAGAGAGAGAGAGAGAGAGAAAGAGAGAGAGAGAGAGACTTCCATTTGCTTGCTCACTCCCCAGGCAGAAGCCAAGAACTTGGAACTGAATTCCAGCCAGGTCTCAATATGGATGGCAGTGCCCAAGCACTTGTTTCATCATGTGCTGCTTTCCCAGACACATTAGCAGAGAACTTGTTCAGAGAGACCCAGACTTGAAATGTTAGGGAGGCTGGTGTCGGAAGCCACAGCTTAACTCACTGTGACACATCACCAACTCCTGTTTGAAGATTTTAAGGCCATTCTCCAAGAATGGTGCTCTAAAATCCTGTTATTTTATAGAACTTTTCTCATTCAAGCTAGTTGACACTTAATTGGTCCATTAAATCAAACAATTCTGTTTTAATTTCACCTTTGAAATTAAAAATTCCTCAAATATTTCTTTAATAATTTCCTCACTAAATTTTCTTTTATTCTTGGAGATTCACCCCCACCCCACCCACCTCTGCCCAGCTTGCTGACTTCTCCAAAAGCCCAAATTGCCCTGACACCATGCCCCTGGATCCCAGCCACTGGAGCCCCACCCTCCCACCAACAGATGCTGAGCCCCACCCCCTCCAAGTGCTTGCTAGCCACTCCACCTCTCCAGCCCCCAGCCCCCGACTCTTGCAAAGCTGGCATTCTCTTCCCGTGACATGTTGGGGTCTTTGCTTGTTTCCAAGTGTTGGGATGTGCCCATGGGCTCCTCCCCTCAAGCCCCTGTTCTCTCCAGAGCCCAAGCTGAAGGGCCCATTCTCTTTGCTCCTTCCACTTGCCTCATGTCTCCATCATTCATTTGCTTGTGCATTCATTGATTCACTTATTCACTCATTCATTCTCTCAGTCATTCCTTCTTGACTCACTCGTGTGTCCCAACTGCCTTCGATATACACAGAGGCTCAATCCCAGCTGGGCTGGCACTGCTGTCTCGGTTTGCAAGACTGTTCCAAACCCATCTCCCCAGTCTCCGCAGCCCTGCACCCTGCTTCCTCTTGACCTTTCTTTCCACTTGAAGGAGGCACAGGGTTCACACAGGTGCACCTGCCTTAGCTCTCCCTGCCTCACAGGACTCCCTGCATCCAATTCTCACACACACTCACACAGCAAGACATGCTGCTACCCCTGGATAAGCCAGCTACCTCCCATCCTCTGCTGCTTTTGTATCAAGAAGCCAGATCCTCATAAAAGTTCTCTGAGACCAGTGAAGTAGGAGAAGTTGGGAGCAGACACACACACGGACACACCCGCACACACATGGACACACACACACACATGCACACATACACGGACACACGGCTCCCCTGGCCTCATCAACACAGAGTGCTTTATCAGTGGGTGGGGAAAGGCTGCAGTCGGCTCGACAGCCCCCCTGCCCTCACCCCCACAACCTGCCAGGCAGGGGCAGCCTCCTAACACCTGGTGCCTCTGCCAAGCAAGGCTTCAAACCACGACCTGCCTGGATTGTAAGCTGGAGAAGCTGCAGGGCTGGAGATTCAGCCCCTCTCCCTCGCCCTCTCCTGGGGAGCTCCCAGGCTTCCCCAGGGCCTCACCCAGGTCCTTCCCAAGGAACAGCTCTGGGAGCACAATGGGGCCCGCTTCCGGGGACCTGCCCAGGGCGGAGGGTGGAAGAGAGGCCGCCTCAGCCCCTGCCCCTGCTGCCCGCCTTCTCAGCCTCCTTGAGTCCTCCCTGGGCCCCATCAAAAAAGAAAAAAAAAATCAACTCTTTTTTTTCCAGGAGCTTATTGTTTTTATTTTTGTTATTTTTATCCAACAGATTTTTTCAGTTATTTTTAACTTTTTTTTATTATTTTTTTATTTTTTATTTTTTATTTTTGACAGGCAGAGTGGACAGTGAGAGAGAGAGACAGAGAGAGAAAGGTCTTCCTTTGCCGTTGGTTCACCCTCCAATGGCCGCCGCTGCAGCCGGCGCACCGCGCTGATCCGATGGCAGGAGCCAGGATCCAGGTGCTTTTCCTGGTCTCCCATGGGGTGCAGGGCCCAAGCACCTGGGCCATCCTCCACTGCACTCCCTGGCCATAGCAGAGAGCTGGCCTGGAAGAGGGGCAACCGGAACAGAATCCGGCGCCCAGACTGGGACTAGAACCCGGTGTGCCGGCGCCGCAAGGTGGAGGATTAGCCTATTGAGCCACGGTGCCGGCCAGTTTTTTTTTTTTAACTTTAATTTAATGAATATAAATTTCCAAAGTACAGCTTATGGATTACAATGGCTTCCCCCCCATAACCTCCCTCCCACCCACAACCCTCCCCTTTCCCACTCCCTCTCCCCTTCCATTCACATCAAGGTTCACTTTTGATTCTCTTTATATACAGAAGATCAGTTTAGCATACATTAAGTAAAGATTTCAACAGTTTGCTCCCACACAGAAACATAAAGTGAAAAATACTGTTTGAGTACTAGTTATAGCATTACATCTCAATGCATAGCACACTAAGGACAAAGATCCTACATGAGGAGTAAGTGCACAGTGACTCCTGTTGTTGACTTAACAAATCGACACTCTTGTTTATGGCATCAGTAATCACCCTAGGCTCTTGTCATGAGCTACCAAGGCTATGGAAGCCCCCTGAGTTCACTGACTCTGATCATATTTAGACAAGGCCATGGTCAAAGTGGAAGTTCTCTCCTCCTTTCAGAGAAAGGTACCTCTTTCTTTGATGACCCATTCTTTCCACTGGGATCTCACTCGAGGAGATCCTTCATTTAGGTTTTTTTTTTTTTTTTTTTTTTTTTTTTCCCAGAGTGTCTTGGCTTTCCATGACTGAAATAATCTCATATCTCATGGGCTTTTCAGCCAGATCCACGTGCCATAAGGGCTGATTATGAGGTCAGAGTGCTGTTTAGGACATCTGCCATTCCATGGGTCTGCTGTGTATCTCACTTCCCATGTTGGATCATTCTCTCCCTTTTTTATTCTATCAGCTAGTATTTGCAGACACTAGTCTTGTTCATGTGATCCCTTTGGTTCTTAGTCCTATCATTATGATCAATTGTGAACAGAAATTGATCACTGGGACTAGTGGGATAGCATTGGTACATGCCACCTTGATGGGATTGAACTGGAAAACCCTGGTATGTTTCTAAATCTACCGTTTGAGGTAAGTCAGCTTGAGCATGTCCCGAATTGCACATCTCTTCCCTCTCTTATTCCCACTCTTACATTTAACAGCGATCACTTTTCAGTTAAGTTTCAGCACTTAGGAATAATTGTGTATTGATTACAGTATTCAACCAAAAGTATTAAGTAGAAGAGACAAAAAAAAATACTAAGAGGGATAATATATCAAGTTGCTCATCAACAGTCAAGGTGAGGTCTGATCAAGTCACTGTTTCTCATAATATTCATTTCAATTTAACAGGTTTCCTTTTTGGTGCTCAGTTAGTTGTCACCTATCAAGGAGAACAAGTGGTATTTGTCCCTTTGGGATTGGCTTATTTCACTCAGCATAATGTTTTCCAAATTCCTAACAGGGATCACTTTCCAGTTAAAATTTAAACACCTAAGAATAATTGTGTGTTAATTACAGAGTTCAACCAATGGTACTAGAACAAAAAAAAAAATACTAAAATGGATAAAGTATTACATTGTACATCAACCGTCAGGACAAGAGCTGATCAAGTCACTCTTTCTCATAGTGTCCATTTCACTTCAACAAGTTTCCCCTTTGTTACTCAGTTAGTTGTTGCTGATCAGGGAGAACATATGATATTTGTCCCTTTGGGACTGGCTTAATTCACTCAGCAGGATGTTTTCCAAATTCCTCCAACTTGTTGCAAATGACCAGGTTTCGTTGTTTTTGACTGATGTATTGTATTCTATAGAGTACATGTCCTATAATTTCTTTATCCAGTCTACTGTTGATGGGCATTTGGGTTGGTTCCAGGTCTTAGCTATTGTGAATTGAGCTGCAATAAACATTAATGTGCAGACAGCTTGTTTGTTTGCCAATTTCATTTCCTTTGGGTAAATTCCAAGGAGTGGGATGGCTGGGTTGAATGGTAGAGTTATCTTCAGGTTTCTGAGGCATCTCCAGACTGACTTCCTTAGTGGCTTAACCAATTTGCATTCCCACCAACAGTGGGTTAGTGTCCCTTTTTCCCCACATCCTCTCCAGCATCTATTGTTGGTAGATTTCTGCATGTGAGCCATTCTAACTGGGGTGAGGTGGAACCTCATTGTGGTTTTGATTTTCATTTCCCTGATTGCTAGTGATCTTGAACATTTTTTTCATGTGTCTGTTGGCCATTTGGATTTCCTCTTTGGAAAAATGTCTATTGAGGTCCTTGGCCCATTTCTTAAGTGGGTTGTTTGTTTTGATGTTGTGGAATTTCTTGATTTCTTTGTAGATTCTGGTTATTAACTCTTTATCTGTTGCATAGTTTGCAAATATTTTTTCCCATTCTGTCAGTTGTCTCTTCACTCTCCTGACTGTTTCTTTTGCAGTACAGAAACTTCTCAATTTGATGCAATCCCAAATGTTAATTTTGTCTTTGACTGCCTGTGCTTCTGGGGTGTTTTCCAAGAAGTCATTGCCGGTACCTATATCTTGCAGGGTTTTTCCAATGCTCTCTAGTAATTTGATGGTGTCAGGTCGTAGATTTAAGTCTTTAATCCATGTTGAGTGAATTTTTGTGTAAGGTGAATGGTAGGGGTCTAGCTTCATGATTCTGCATGTGGAAATCCAATTTTCCCAGCACCATTTATTGAATAGACTGTCCTTACTCCAGGGATTGGTTTTGGATCCTTGATCAAACGTAAGTTGGCTGTAGATGTTTGGATTGATTTCTGGTGTTTCAATTCCGTTCCATTGGTCTATCCATCTGTTTCTGTACCAGTACCATGCTGTTTTGATTACAACTGCCCTGTAGTATGTCCTGAAATCTGGTATTGTGATGCCTCCGGCTTTGTTTTTGTTGTACAAGATTGCTTTAGCTATTCGAGGTCTCCTGTGTCTCCATATGAATTTGAGCATCGTTTTTTCCAGATCTGAGAAGAAGGTCTTCGGTACCTTGATTGGTATTGCATTGAATGTATAAATTGCTTTTGGGAGAATGGACATTTTGATGATATTGATTCTTCCAATCCATGAGCATGGAAGATTTTTCCATTTCTTGGTATCCTCTTATTTCTTTCTTTAAGGTTTTGTAATTTTCATCGTAGAGATCTTTAACGTCCTTGGTTAAGTTTATTCCAAGGTATTTGATTGTTTTTGTAGCTATTGTGAATGGGATTGATCTTAGAAGTTCTTCCTCAGCCATGGCATTGCCTGTGTATACAAACTTTTTATTTGATTTTTTTCTTATATTGTATATACTTGATTCTGTCTTCCAAATACCTGATTCAATCTTCAATTTTGTTTTCCTAATAATTATTCGCTCTTAATTGACTTTTAATTTTTTAAAAAAAGATTTATTTGAGGGGCTGGCGCCGTGGCGCACTAGGTTAATTCTCTGCCTGCAGCACCAGCATCCCATATGGGCACCGGTTCTAGTCCCAGTAGCTCCTTTTCCAGTCCAGCTCTCTGCTGTGGCCTGGGAAAGCAGTACAAGTCGGCCCAGGTGCTTGGGCTCCTGCACCCACGTTGGAGACCGGGAGAAGGCACCTGGCTCCTGGCTTCAGATTGGCACAGCTCTGGCCTTTGTGGCCACTTGGGGAGTGAGCCAGCAGAGGGAATATCTTTCTCTCTGTCTCTTTCTCTCTCTCACTGTCTGTAACTCTGCCTGTCAAATAAATAAACAAAATCTTAAAAAAAAAGATTTATTTGACAGGCAGAGCTACAGAGAGAGGAGAGATACAGAGAGAAATCTTCCATCAACTGGTTTACTCCCCAGATGACCAAAACTACAGGGGCTGCGCCAGGCTGAAGCCAGGAGCCAGGAGTCAGGAGCCAGGAGTTTCTTCCTGGTCTTCCACGTGTGGGCAGTGGCTCACAGACTTGGGCCATCTTCCACTGCTTTCCCAGGCTCATTAGCAGGGAGCTGGGTGTGCAGTGGAACAGCCAGGACTTGAACCAGCACCCATATGGGATGCCATGGTTTACTCTGCTGCATCACAGCACTAACCCCCAAATTTTAATTTAAAAATTTTAAATATGCAATGAAAACTTCTTGATTTTTTAAAGATTTTATTTATCTGTTGGAGAGGTACACTTACAGACAGAGAGAGGGAGAGACAAAAAGAAAGGTCTTCCATATGCTGGTTCACTCCCAAATGGCCACCATGGCCAGAGCTGCACAGATCTGAAGTCAGGAGCTAAGAGCTTCTTCTGAGTCTCCCACGTGGGTGCAGGGGTCCAAGTGCTTGGGTCATCTTCTAGCACTTTCCCAGGCCATAGCAGAGAGCTGGATCAAAAGAGGAGCAGCCAGGACCAGAACTGGCACCCACTTGAGATTCTGGTGCCACAGGCAGAGGTTTAACCTACTGCACCACAGTGCCTGCCCCACCTTGATTTTTATATAATAGACTTCAGACTGTATCTGAGACCAATAATTATTATTTTAATATATTTACTTTTGCTTCTTGTATTAATTTCTTCGTCTAAATTTTCCATTTACTCATATTTAGCTTTCTTTTTCCTACTGTTACCTTTCTTCAATGTCTCATAACTTCATTTTTGAAATTTTAGTACAATTTTACGAATATATTATTTTGTTGCATTTTCCTTGTAATTTCTACATGCATGCATGCATATTCAAATGGAAGGTTTATTGGTGGGTTCAATGAAAGTGGACTGCTGTCATTAAGAGAAAAACTTCCTTTAACGCTGTAAAGTGAAAATAAGTAAACATGATTTTAATCCACAAAATTACTTCTTAAGTAACTCTAATTTTTCTTTAGGTGGAGTATTACAATTGTTGTTATGCCTCATAATGTTCCATACTCCGACTTTTGTATTATTGTCAATATTAAAAGTAAAATATTGAGTACTTTCTATGTGAATACTCTTACTGAAACCAATACATGTATATAATTTAATTTACTTCTACTTTATAGATATACGGGGATCATTACCCTCTTTTATATATGAAGTGACTGAAAAAAGTTGTATTCCAAAGATGATACAATTTGGGGGAGTTTTTGTTAGTGCATGTGTGCTCATTGTGTATCAGGCATTTGACTCCACAGCAAGCTAGTAGAGAGGGATTTGGTGATATTATGTAAAGAAACTCTGAATCCAAAAAATTAATAATATATACTAATATGTTGTACAGAAAAGTAAGGATAAAAGCAATGATTAATTCTTAGTATTACATGGGGCACACTCATTCTAAAACTATGTAGTGTCTGAAATTTATACTAAACTGAACAGTTATTCACTTTCTATCTGAAATTCAGATTAAACTAGATGCTCTGCTAGTTGGTTCGCCAAATCTGGCAATCCTAGGGTTAAAGACAAACATACTACACTTAGAGGGGAATCTAGGACGAAAAGGGTGCCATTGTATTTCAAGTTGCAATTGGAAGTATAGGTATTTCATAGAAAGTGGTATAAAACTGTAAGGAATAGAATGTAGGTGCTATTGACAAGTTCTCTGTTGAGTCGATTTCAGGAAGCTCTTAAAGCTTTGAATTTTGGAAGAAGTTGAAGCAGAAAGCAGTTTGAGTGAATAAGAGTAGGGATTCATGGAAGCCCACTACTTTTAGCTCAATAGTGGGAAATCCAAGCTCTCCCACAGTAGGTTTCTGTCTTAGAAATGTGCATGAAAGAAAATACTACCTTTGTCCAACCTATTTTTTCAGTATTCTCTATATCAGAGAGCATTATTACATGCACTCAATTCACATTTGAAAAAAAAAAAATAAGGAAAATGGACAAGAGTAGGACTCAGTCTTGTTGAACACAATAAATAAGAACATATGTTTCCCAGGAGTGGGGGTAGGGGTGACATTGACCAACAAGACATTTCACAGGGGTGGAAAAAGGGCTGAAGCAATCTTTTTTTCCAGTTTTAAATAGCTAGATTGATCTTATTGAGATTATGGGATCCAATCCTATAAAATCATAACCTGCTGAAGTAGTCTTTCACTGCAAACAGTTTCAATAATAGAGTGCCTCCATGAACCCACACACATTTGTACACAAGTATGTGCATGCTT